CCCAAACCACCCAAAAGGCAACCAGGAAGGCCACCGCTAGTAAAGAAACCTCCACTAAACAGACCCACTACTACTAACATCAAACCCACATCTAAACCTAAACCTACAACTAAGCCTAAACCTAAACCTGAAATTAAACCAACACTAAAGCCTAAACCTAAACCTGGAGTTAAACCTACACCAAAGCCCAAACCTACACCTAAACCCAAGGTCATTAAACCAACTCTTAAACCAAGAGTCAAGGTTAAACCCACACCTAAGCCCAGTATAAAACCCAAAGTGAAACCAGTGAAGCCAACCACTAAGGCAGGAGTTAAACCAACAGTCAAACCTAAGATGAAACCCACAGCATCATCTCAACCAGGAGTAACCAAAGCAGTGACCAAGAAACCCGATGTGAGCAAGAAACGTAAGTACAATAAAATGAGTGTTGAATTTTTAACCTGCTTTTTACCCCCATGTATGTATTTGTGTTTACTTGTACTAGAAAGTGTTTGTTGCCGCATGTTTTTCCTACAGCTTTACCACTGAACCCACTGTGTACACAACCCTGTAAGCGGACTGGAACCCTCCAAACCAGCTTCTGCCCTCATGACTTTGGTGAGCTACAAAACAAGCTGCAGTCTGGGCTTTGCAGAACTCCTCTCCATCTATTTTCACACCTTTACACCTACAAAATGTCACTTGGTTCTACACATTTTCTCCCCATTGAAACATGCCTTTTTTGTGATTCTAGCCCACTCTACAACTAAGTGCTTTCTAACATTCAGACACATTTATACTCAGACGAATGCATCTGAGAGCAACTTATGGTTAGTGTCTTTCCCAGTCTTTGGCATGAAGACTGGGGCACCCAGAGGTCAAACCACCAATCTTCAAATTAGTAGCGACCACTTTAGGGTGGCTTTTTAGCAATGGATATTTCACTCATAAGCAGATTCCTCAGATAATCACTCAGAAAGTCTTAAATGTTTGACCAAAGTTTAAAGAAGTCTAAACACCTTGCAATGATAACTTTTAAAAAATCTTAAATTGTTTCCCTTAGTGACCACATCTTTCTTTTTTCTTTATTTTAGTGATTACGGGTAAGGTTACGTTTATAGATCCTGGTCCAAGGGGCTCAGCAACCATCGAGGTGTCACTGATCAAGGCGTATAAGACAGGAAGCCTCACCGTCACCAAATCAGGACCCGCCAAAACAGTCACACTGACTTCTACCTGCAAGAAATGCCCAGGGCTAATCAAAGGTAAAAAATGAGACAGTTTTCTTGCTCTCCATCTTACAGAAATATTGCCACATAATACAGTTAGAGCAGGGTGTCAAACGTCTGTAAATACTGTGTACAAACTGGAATTTCTTAATGATGGCTTTCTATGTTTAGGGTACTACCAGTGCTAAAATCCAGTTCAATGTCAAACTGTATGCAGATGATATGATTTTGTATTTAACCAATAAAAGCCAGCGATTAAAGGCAATAATGTAGATAATAAAACCATATAGAGGTGTCATATTGCAGCATATATCATTGGTGCCTCTGGGATTATTGTAAATAAATAACCACTACATAAAGAATAGGAGTAAAACAGAGTTCTGGATTGGTATAATGTTATTTAACAGGAATTGTTCATTTTCAGTGTTGTTCCTTTAAATGTTTCCCTTTAAAAATCACAAGCTGCTCTGATGTAAATGATAACAACTTGCTCTGTATTTCTTCATTGTCTCTTGTCCAGGCCGTAACTACGTGTTGATGGGAAAAGTGGACACAGAGGGCAATGGCCATTTGAGCCCCTCCAGCTTCACCCTCCTCTTTAAGCCCGTTCATTCAAAAGCACTGGATGTCCTTTCTCGCAAATCATGCTGACATCGTGGCCTAAACCACCAATCAAACTGACAGCCTTGACTCTTTAGAAAATGTAACATTGCATAAAGAGTGAAAATATTATAAACAATATCCTGCAGAATTTTTTTCATATTACAATATGGTTGTGAGAAGGAGTTACATTTTAAACATACGATATTAACATATTACTTTTGTATTTTCTATGTAAATTATAAAGTTTCTGTGTTAAAAGATACATAATAAACACAGTTTGGGGGAAATTTTAGTCTCGACTATCCATTACTTTCCCTGGTACACTGAAGTGCTGTACAACATAAAGATCTTAGAGACCATAAAACAAATATGACATTTATCACCAGCAGCAACATGACACATGATTGTGAGGGACTGTTGTCCTACATGATGACCTCCTGAAAAGCTTGCAATGGCCTTCATATATATATATCAACCACGCTGTCACAGATGCCACTTTAGTGCGAAGGCAGCAAATCAAACAAAGTGCTGGTCTTCAGTGATTTTGGTCCATATTAACATCACACAGTTGCTGCAGCTTTTTCAGTTGCTCATTCATGATGAAATATTTTTTTCTATCACATCCTGAAGCTGTTTTATAGTAATGAGATCTGGTGATTGTGGAGGCCATTTGAATACAACAAACTCATTGTCATGTTCAAGAAACCAGTTTGAGATGATCCCATGAACTTTGCAAAACATGGTTTGTCATCCTGCTGAAAACAGTCATCAGAAGATGGGACCACTGTGACCATAAAGGGACATGATTAGAAACAACACTCAGGTAGGCTGTGGCTTTTAAATGATGCTCATTAGTACTAAGTGACCCAAATTGTGCCAATATCCCCCACATCATTAAACCACAACCACTAACATTAACTGTTAATATAAGGCAGGGTGTATCAGTGCTTTCATCTTGTTTATGTCAAATTTTGAACATATCTTCCAAATGTTGCAGCAGAAATCGCGACACATTAGACCATTTGACAATTCAATTTTGTAGCCTCAATTTTTGCTTCCACTGCTTCAAGGTTTGACATGTCGTGTGTTCAGAGATGCTCTTCTACATAGCGTGGTTGTTAACAAGCGGTTGTTTGAATTACTTCTGCCTTCCTATCAGCTCAAAGGAAGGCATTCTCCTGGCATAAACGAGTCATTTTCACCTAGAAAACTGCTGCTCACAGGATATTTTCTGTCCATCTGACCATAGAGATGTGTGAAAATCTCAGATGATGAGCATTTAAAAAAAAAAAGGAAAAAAAAAAGACTCAGACCAGTTGTCACGTTAATGGGTCTGTTGACCCAGCGTTTTAAGTTTTAGTTTATTTATGTTGATGTTTATGTTTTTTAGGTTAGCTAAGTTCATTTGTTTATCAGATTCCCTTTGTGTTTCCCTCACCCTTTATGTGTTTCATGCTGCGTGTCTTATGTTGTCAAGTTCGTATTGCCATGTCTGCGTCTCATGTTTCCGGTTTTATTTTGAAGGTCTGTGTCCTGTGTCAGTGTAGTCGGCTTTGCTTCCTTCGTCTCGTAATGTCAGCTTAGTGTTAGCAGTTTCCCCATGTGTTTCCACTTCCCCTAATCACCCTTGTGTGTGTATTTAGTCTGTGTATTTCTTTTTGCTCATTGTCAGGTCGTCTGTTGTCCTTTCTGCTATGTTTCCAGGGTCCAGGTACCTTTGTGTCCATGTCGGGTTTCATGTTTTGATTTTTTTTAAGTTTATCTTTAGTTTCCACAGTTTAGATTATCGTTTAGCTTCATCTTCATCAGTTTTGTTTTGTAATATTTTACCTGCCTTAATAAACGGCTCGCTTTATGTTAACATTCAAGTTTTATTCCACGTCCATTCGTGTCTGCATTTTGGGTCCTCTTCGTCACTCTATACACTCTGCCTGTGCCAGACTGTGACACCAGCCCATTTAGCAGTAAAAAGCATTCAAAGTCCCTTAAATTACTTTTCTTCTCCATTCTGATGCCAGATTTGAAATTCTGTAGATCAGCTTGACCACGACAACATGCTGAAATGCACAGAGTGGCTGAAGTGATCGAACGATTGCATATTTGTATTAATGAAAAGTTGAACATGTCTACCGAATAAACTGGTGATCAAAGTAGGAAAACCTGAGATACAGTGACATCCATAATGTTTAGGACACCATTTTTGTAGTTTTGCCTCTGTACACCACCATAGTGTTTGTAAATCAAACAATCAATATTTGACTGCAGTACAGATTTTTAGCTTTAAGGGGTTTCACAAAAACTTTGTAGGATTTAGTTTAAGAATTACAACCATTTCACATCCCCCATCTTCAGAGATTGTCACAGTGAGTTTTTTTTTAAAAATTGGGCTTCCACACTAGCTGTCTTACTGTGTAATATATTTTGTTATTAAGATTGGATTATGAGGTATTTCAGGGTATATTTTCTGTCAACATCTTTGAAAAACAATTTCACAACTCATTTTTGTACTTTTTGCTTCTTTATTCTCATATTTGCAAAAAGAGGATGAAGTACTGGGATTTTCTGAGATAAAGTACGCAGGTCTAAAAAACTGAAAGCATTTTAGGTGATTCAGGAGTGGAAGTGAAAAAGCTACAGTTATGATGGACAGCCTCCTTAAGCTTCCCGTCATGATATATACAGAAAACATTTACATTAAACAAGTTTATTCAGCTTCTGCACCTTCTCTGGTAACTTTCCCTGGGCACATGTGAAACAGCCTGAACTTTATAAAACAAAAAGCCTGTTTTTGTTTTCCTCTCATTTTTAATGACTCTTCTCTGAGGTGTTTTTGTGTTTGTTTTAGCCGCATGAGATTTGAGTTTTTTCAAAATGCATAATTCCTGTTTTCAGTTCTCAGTCTGACGTGGTTGTGCTGATCCATGTTTCAGTGTAAAATTGTACTGGACAAAAAATAAAAAATACAGTAGGCTTTTTTCCACAATATTATTTTCTCATTATGAAACAAAACAAACCCACCATGGATTGGAAACTTCTAAATGAACACTGTTTCAGAGGGATTTCTTTAGAATACAATACTGTGCAAAAACTTAGAGCAACCCCTGATTTCTTTATATTTTGGAAATAGGTGGAGTGATTTTTAACTGTACAATCATATGATGGAAATGGTCAAAGGAGCTTGCAAAGAAAAGCGTCTGGACTTCTTTAAGTTGCTTGAAGACGTTTCACCTCTCATCCGAGAAGCTTCTTCAGTTCTAAGGTCAAATGGTGGAGAGTCCCAGATATAAACCTAGTGGGAGTTTCCCCCCCACAGAGGGACAAAAGGACCCCCTGATGATCCTCTAATCGCCTGAGCCAAGGTGTGAAACTGGGTGTGGGTCCCAATCAGCCAGAGTTTCGGGTGAGTTCATTGTGAAACCTGGCCCCGCCTTATCATGCGAATTCCTGAGGTCAGATGGCCCAGGATGTGAGTGGGCGTTAAGGCGTCTGGGAAGGGATCTCAAAACTGGATTATAGATGGCAGAGAGTTGGTGTCGTAAACCACCGCCTCTGTTCAAAGATGGTCGCTCACAGTGGACATAGATGGCTTCTTTCACTCCTCTGGATGGTTTGAAAGAGGAGTGAAAGAAGCCATCTATGTCCACTGTGAGCGACCATCTTTGAACAGAGGCGGGGGTTTACGACACCAACTCTGGTGTCGTAAACTGATTGGGACCCACACCCAGTTTCACACCTTGGCTCAGGCGATTAGAGGATCATCAGGGGGTCCTTTTGTCCCTTTGTGGGGGGGAAACTCCCACTAGGTTTATATCTGGGACTCTCCACCATTTGACCTTAGAACTGAAGAAGCTTCTCGGATGAGAGGTGAAACGTCTTCAAGCAACTTAAAGTCCAGACGCTTTTCTTTGCAAGCTCCTTTGACTACAATGACCTGGATGACTGAGAACCTTCACAGACATATGATGGAAATGCAGTATATAAAGAAAAAAAGTGTTTCTACAGTTACAAGCTTGGAAGTCCATATTTGCTGTGACTGCGTTTAATCCTTAATCACAAATATGACAAACTTTCTTGTCATTTCTGTAAGAAATCTTCAGGAATAGATCTCCAGACATCTTGAAGGACATTCAAAGCTCTTCTTTGGATGTTCCTGCCTTCTGTTCTGTTCTCTGTCAAAGTGATCTCACACTGCTTCAATAATGTTGAGATGTGTGCAGATGCACTCTCACCTGCCTGCTGCCACTCCTGAGCCGCCGCTGCACTGGTGGCACTGATCCCATAGCTGACGATCCTGGTGCTTGCTGGACGTTCTTGGGTGACCTGAAGCCTTTTTCACAACAATTAAACCTGTTTCCTAAAAGTTCTTGATGATCCGACAAAAGGTTAATTTAGGTGAAATCTCAGTTGCAACAACCTCCTTGCCTGTCAAGCTCTTTTTATGCAACGCAATGATGAATAAGAAGAATGATTTCAAGCATCCCCTTTTAACACATCCAGTGTGCTATTCCAACTCAATCAGCATGACATAATGATCTCCAGCCTTGTGCTCATCAACCTTCTTTCCTGTGCTACTGAGAAGATTATTGAAGCGGTCTACTTTTATGCCAGCGATGAAATGCAGTGGAAGTGGGTTTTTTGGGGATCAAGTTCATTTTCATGGCAGAGATGAATTTTGCAATTCATCTAATCACTCTTCATAACATTCGAGTGTATATGCAAATTGCCATCATAAAAACTGAAGCAGCATTTGGCCACGACTCTACTGCTCAAGACCACTTAAAAAAATAAAAATAAAAAAATAAAAAACTCTGGTTGCTTGGAAGCAAAATATGAAGAAACGATGGGTGGCTAAAGACTTTTGCACATGAACATTCAGAAAGTAAACAAGCATTTTGATACACAACCAATTTACCCTCTGACTAAACAGCTCTATCCAATAAATATTCTGTTTTGAGCTTTTTTTAAATATTCTTGTTCATTATTTTGCCTAACATTATATATATTATTAAAAACATCCAGTCAAATGTTTAGATAACAGAAATCTGCCGTGAAAAAAAAAAAAAAAAAAAAAATTAAACATTTTCCACTAAACTTTGTATTTTACCTGGAAATTGTGACATTTCTCTGAAAAGGAAAAAAGTGTGTTGTGTTATTAAAAGCTCTAAACATATATAAGACACATATCAAAGCCAAATTCCAACATGTTCAAAGCTTCATTTTTTATTTGTTAGTTTTCTTTTCATCCCCGCAGCAGACTCCGAGTGTTATCATCAGCCTC